TAATGCAACTAATTTAATGATATCTGGCATATGCTAATTTCATTTCTTTGATCTTTCTTGGGATTACTATTAAGTATTCACCCAGTCTCTATTTGTAATTCTATACCTGTCCATATTTTCTCAATCCTTCTGGAAAAAAATATGTTAACCGTAAAACCAGTAACTATAGTATAAAGCTGCTAATTTGGAGGGCATGTTTTACAGTTGCTTTTAAGATTTTACAATAAAATAAAAATCCTTTTTATTTCTCCTTAAACAGTTTGTTAAAAACAGATGATTACGTTAAATGCACTTAGCTGTCACTATCCACATATCTCAATTACAAAGAGGCGACCAATACACGGACTAGTCTGTAAATTTTGTAATGAATTATTTTGTGAATAAAGGTACATTTAGCTACAATTTCCCTTTTTCCCCTATGTATGGCAACTTTAGGGATGACTTTAGGACAGTCACTCTTATCTACTACGACTACTACATCTACACTCTGGTCTTTCATCAATAGAAAAGACCTTAAAAAACACATCTTCTTCCATTTACTCATACCCCTGCCCTGCACCCACAGAAAGTACCTGTTAATGTTGTGACACATGCGAGGTATGAGCCTCGCAAGAAAAATAAGAGACTCCCAGTCAGGTTCATCTTTAGAGGAAATTCCACACACATAACTGTAGGAACGACGGTCACCCTGAAAATACAAATACAATTGACAATTTTTAATAGTTTTATACAATTCAAAAGATGTGCTGAAAAATACTCTGCACATGGTGATGCTATTAATAGCAATGTGGGCTTTTTGAAAAAAAAAAAAAAAAATACCAAGAATATATTGATGCAGAGCTTCACTGAGTAGGGCGCCAGCCCCATATACCAAGGGTGGCGGATTCAAACCCAGCCTCGGCCAAACTGCAACAGAAAAACAGCTGGGCATTGTGGCACCTATAGTCCCAGCTAGTCGGGAGGCTGAGGCAAGAGGACTGCCTAAGTCCAAGAGCTGAAGGTTGATGTGAGCTGGGACGCCACAGCATGCTACGGAGAGCCATGTCTCTTAAAAGAAAAAAAAAAAAAAGAAGAATATATTGTTTGAATAAAAGCATATATTAAATGCTTCTCTAATGATATATGTAAATTGCAAATTAAATTCTACCCTAATTGGTTCACAAAGCACTGTGGTAATCTCAAGAATTTGTTCAATATATATCAAATGTCCATTTGGATCGCATGTACCTGCCTAAATCTTTGATAAGCAGCATATTTAATCTGAAAGACAAGATCTGCCCCTTTTCCTGTGTGAATAAGAATTCTTAAGTAGGAGACAAACAACTCATAAACATTTACTTATCAATTTGTTTAAACATGAGCTTAGGCCAGTTGCTGTGGCTCACGCCTATAATCCCACCACTCTGAGAGGCCACTCTGGTGAATTGCTTGAGCTCAGGAGTTCGAGACCAACCTGAGCAAGAGCAAGACCCCGTCTCTAAAAATAGCTGCGCGTTGTGGTGGGTAGCCCTGGGCCCAGCTACTCGGGAGTCTGAGGTAAGAGAATCACTTGAGCCCAAACATTTGAGGTTGCTGTGAGCTATGATGCCACAACACTCAACCCCAGAGTGACTGAAACACTGCCTCAAAAAATAAATAGGCTGAGTGTGGTGGCTCATGGCTATAATCCCAGCAGTCGGGGAAGCAGAGGTGAGTGGATTACTTGAGCTTGAGATCAGTTTGAGCAATAGCAAGACCACAATTTCTACTAAAAATAGGAAATTTAGCCAGGTGTTGTGTTAGGCACCTATAGTCCCAGCTACTTGGGAGTCTGAGGCAAGACGATTACTGGAGCCCAAGAGTTTTGATGTTGCCGTGAGCTATAAAGCCCACAGGACTCTACCCAGGCCAACAGAGTGACAATCTATCTCAAAAAAATGAAAAATAAAAACAAGTAAACAAAACTTATAATAATTGATTCTCTTTGTCTTTGTCCTATTGAATCTAGATGATTTGCTTTACCAAAAAAAAAAAAAAAAATTTAAAAAGTAACATTCATTAGATAACGACTTAATGCCCAGAATGTCATGTACTGAGAATATGAAAGTTCAAAGTATTTGATAGCACCTATAGAAGTTTAAAAAGTATTTGATGGTATGCTAATTTGACAGAATCTATAAAATTTTAAAATATATATGTTCTATAATCCACAAAATGATCCTCTGTAAATATAGGAGCAACTACTGAAATGCCTAAATTAAAAAAAAAAACCCAACTAAAAACTGGCTCAGTGCCCATAACTCAGCAGTTAGGGTGCAGACCACATACACCAACTGGGGCTGGCAAGTTCGAAACCAAGTCTGGGTCTGGCAAACACTGTCAACTACAACAAAAAAATAGCCGGGCATTGTGACAGGCACCTGTAGTCACAGCTATTGAAGGCTGAGGCAAGAAAATCACTTGAGCCCAGGTGTTTGAGGTTACTGTGAGCTGTGTCACCACGGCACTCTACCTAGGGCAACAGCTTGAGACTCTGTCTCAAAAAAATAATAATAATAAATAAACAAAATAAAAACTGAAAACAATTTAAATGCCCATTGGCAAAGCAAAAGTTAAATAAATTACAGTGTATGTGGGATAGGAGGCAATAGTTGAGAACAACCTACTTGTGAAGGCATTTAAGTTCATGATGTTCAGTTAAAAGAAAAAAGTTTATGAATAATGTGTTATCTATAATCTCCTCTTTTCTTTTTAAGATAAATGTTTCTGCAAAGATACAAACCTTAAGTAGAGAGTACAATAAGGATAATTTTTTCATGTATTTTGATTTTAAGTGTGTTTTACTTTGGTATATAGGGAATAAACCGCACTGCTATACTAACCATGAATTATTTTTTATCTGGGCACAGATCTCAGCTTCAAAGGCCTGAAGGACTAAGTTAGGTATCTAATACCAAAAGAAACTTTTATTTTGGTGGGAAGAGTAGTCAAACCTGATTAAATTGATTTTCAAAAAGGAAATAACTCAGCTCCATACCTATAGCTCAGTGGCCAGGGTGCTGGCCACATACGCTGGAGCTGGCAGGTTCGAGCACAGCCTGGGCCTGCCAAACAACAATGACAACTACAGCTAAAAAATAGCTGGGTGTTATGGGGGGCGCCCGTAGTACCAGCTGCTTGGGAGGCTGAGGCATGAGAATTACTTGAACCTAAGAGTTGGAGGTTGCTGTTAGCTGTGCACTAACATAGTGAAACTCTGTCTCAAAAACAAACAAACAAACAAAAACTCATCTAAGAAACTACACTACTTGAAATATCTATTGATCTATACACTAGTATCTATAACACTTCTCTAAAAAGGAGAGTAAAGAACTAGTCCAACTCAGTTCCCAGCCCAGCAGAAGTTAGCATAAAAGGTAGCAGTGCTCTATCACAGATCTACCTAGGACCACAAAAACTCTGAGAATTAACCTGTCTATGCCTCTATTTTTACATAGCAGGGTTAATTATCTGCCTACAAATATCATAGCAAATTTCACAATAAATTTGTATGACAAATCAGATGACCTATAAACCACTGAAAAAAATTTCTACAATTCTAAGAAAGGTTATTTCAATACTAATTTTAAAACAATACAAGCAGCTCTTCTCCCTTTTTTATTAGAGGGATAAAAACGGGAAAAAGCTAGCTTTAGCATTTCCAGGAACTAAAATATTTTAGCTCAATTTAAAAGTAACAATGAATTTTGACATTTAAACTGTCAGATTCATGTATATATAAAATAAATGTGCCTATTAAGTTTTGAATAATCTCTATAACAGTATTAATTTCTTTCTTCACATAATTCTATAAGAGGACATTAAGGACATTATTAACACATTAACCCAATAAATAGCCCAATTACCATTTGGAACTAAATTACTGACACCTTTCCTACTTTTCATTTAACCACAAACTCTAAACAGAAACCTTCTCCCATACACTCCCAAGCTTCTGTTCTCTCAGGAACTCATTTGAGGATCATATAAATAAAGGAAAAAATAATAAAAATAATTTTAGAAATAGCATTTTTGAGAATTGTATTATTCTCACATGCTTTTCTAATTAGAAAGGCAAAATAATAAACACAAAAAACATTAGTTGTACATCATCACAGTTAAGGGAGAGAGACGGCACGTTCAAAGGCAGAGAACACTCCTTTAGGGAATCAGCAAGCTGAGAACCAGACCTAAAGGAGGCTCAGGTCCCGTAGCTCAGTGAATAGAGCGTCGGCCACAGACACTGGGGCTGGCAGGTTCCAGACACCCAGGCCTATCAAACGACGACAAGTGCAACAAAGAAATAGCCGGGCACTGTGGCAGGCGCCTGTAGTCCCAGCTACTTGGGAGGGTGAGGCAAGACAATCACTTAAGTCCAAGAGTTTGAGGTTGCTGTGAACTGTGACACCACAGCTCCCTACTGAAGGCAACACAGTGAGACTGTATCAAAAAAAAAAAAAAAAAGGAAAAAGACCTAAAGGGGTAACACATTCATCTGGAGGCCTTACTACAGCTAAAGAGTTCTAAAGCCACAGTATATTTCACAGCTAGAAGGATAAATGAGGACACCGCCTCTTGATACCTGCCCACAAGGCAGAGAAGCCAGCCAGCCAATGGTTCTTCTAATTTTTACTTTTGGTTAGCACTGACAGATGTTCCAAAACTACAAAATCTCAGCCCGAAAATGTAGTTCTGACAACTATTAACTCTCTCTCTCTCTATATATATATATATTGTACAGAATATTGCCTTTTTACTTTTTTAAACTTGGTACATATACTTTCATATTTTATCTACCTAAGTAATTCTATTTCAACACTGGTGCAAAGAGCAAACTTTAGAAAATTATGACATAGTTCAATAAATTCACACAACTCACCTGTACACCTACAGTTTTAATTGGCAGCAAAAAGGCATTCAGTGAATGCAGACTCGTAATTTGCATCAGTTTCTCCTGATCCTCTTCTGTCGTGCAGGCTTTGACCCTTTGTAAGAGGGTGTGCGGCTAAGAAAACCGATAGGACATTTTTTCAAGTTTCAGGAAACAAGGTTTTCACTCTTTTGGTACTACTAACTCACATATCTACACTTAATGGTTTATAGCAGATCATATTTAGCATCCCCTTTGCTTGCACTATGCCAAAAATTCATTCCAGAGGACTAAGGCTATGAAGAAGTTAAATGTCAGGATAAAAAAATGTGATTGGATTTACTTACAGGGCTCTAATTCCCTGTCACCAGCAAGTTACACACCATACCTGATCAAATGTTATCTCTAACATTTACTGCTACAAAGTCACGTTTGTGACCTACATGGCAGTTAACTGTACAGTTCATTATTTTCTCTTGCGTACTCTGAAGTCTTACATTTACAGCTAACAGTCTTTCCTTTGTAGGTAATTGATCTTTACCTTCAGCTGCTCTGTCTTAGCAGTCAGTAAATTTCACTGAGATATACAGATTTCCTATTCGTTTATCCTGCTTATGATGTATTATTATGTTTCCTGAATCTGAAGCATCCTATCTTTCACCAGAGGGGAGGCATTAATATATTTTTGTCCATTATCTCCTTCTGGACATATATTAGCACTGACCTTCTCATTCTATTTTAACCTCCTCTATTCTTATTTTATGATTTGTACTGATGTCTACATAATTTCTAAACATCCATCTATGAGTTCACTAATTCTTTCCTTATCTGCTTTTAGTTTCAGTAATTATTTTCATTTCTAGAACTTAGATTCATTTTCAAATCTACCTGTTTTTAGTAGTCTCTTATACCCCATTCTTATCATCAATGGCATCTTTTATTTCTAATTACTTTATATATTGTTAATTCCAGTATCTCAAGTCTTTGACTCTCATTCATGGCACCTTACTTCTGTATGTCTCTTGTATCTTTTTTTTGTAAGCTTATATTTGTTAGAATTCTATCTATTGAAATTCTTTGACACCTGGTTAAAGATAGTCCAAAGAGAATACTGATTCCTGGAGACATTATCAGTCAAGGTCCACTTTAAATTCTTAGCTTGTAGTTTTTAGACCACACAGATTACCTAAATTAAGGTTTCAAATCTGCAGAAACACTTGGAGAATTTTCCGTTCATCTTTAACTTGGAACTTTAGTGTTGCTCAGAGTGAAGATCTCTGACTCAGTTCCTAGCCCTGTCTGGACCCAAACACTGTATGAGTGGACTGTTAAAACCCAAACCCTCCACCACATGGGATTAGTAGCTGCCTTCACTCTGGCTTCTTTAACTGATGCATTTAATACACTCCTGATGCAAAGGATTTCCTTTACCTTCTTGGAATACATATGAAAGAGTGTTTTAAAATACATTATTCTACCATTTTTAGGGATTCAGAATACCCAGTCTCATTTGGCTGGAAAGAGAAATCTGCATCCAAGATTTGCATCCAAATGACTTTCTTCACAGTCATTTCATAAGTTTTATTAATGTCAATTTTCAAATAATGAAATTCACTATAAATATTAGAGTACAAGAACCCATTTAATTCCTTATAATTAGTTGTGTCAAATTATTACCTTTTTAACACTTGCAGAAAAATCAGCTACTATTTTCAAGATATTATTGGTTTCAGGAAAGTCCTTACATATATAAGGTTCTTCAGCACATATTACTCTAATTGCCAGGCCAGGACCTGAAGAGTAAAAATAGTATTTAATATAAATGTTATATTTAATATAAAAATACCACTAGTTTCAAAATACAAAATCTTTTTTTTTCTTTGAGACAGTGTCTCACTTTGTCTCCCTTGGTAGACTGCCATAGCTCACAGCAACCTCAAACTCTTGGGCTCAAGCAATTCTCTTGTCTCAGCCTCCCGAGTAGCCAAGACTGTACAGGCACCACCACAACGCCCAGCAATTTTTAGAGATGAGGTCTCGCTCTGGTTCAGGCCGGTCTTGAACTCCTAAACTCAAGCAATCAGCCTGCTTTGGCTTCCCAGAGTGCTAGGATTATAGGCATAAGCCACTGCGCCCAGCCTATAAAATATAAAATCTTTCCAAAATTAAAATCCACCTGCCATTAAGTTCTTTAAAGTACTTAATTTCAAATGTAGCTATTAGTGTCCATTCAACTCATTTTTTAGAATTCTTAAGTTTTCTCCATACTAATGATTTCTATAGCCTTTTTAACTCTCCTGTAAATATCTGTAATTCTGAATATATGTACCAATCTATTTAAAAATTTTTATTAATAATCTAAGCATGATAACTCCTGCCTGTAATTCCACATCTTTGATAGATCAAGGAAAATTACTTGAGGCCAAGAAGACTAGTTTGTGCAATACCACAAGACCCAACTCCACAAAAAGTAAAATGAAACTGGCCAGCTGTGATGGCTCAGGCCTATGATGGCTCAGCTACCTGGCAGGCTGAACAGGAGGATCACGTGAACCCAGGAGTTTAAAGGTGCAGTGAGCCATGATTGACTGTGCCACTGCACTCTAGCCTGGGTGACAGTGGAAGACCCTGTCTCTTAAAAAAAAATGTACAAAAATTTACATAAAGGTGAAGAAGACATAATGAACTACCTTACAGCCATCATCCAGCTTCAACTATCAAAATAATTTTAAGAACAGTAGTATGTTGCTAATATATTTCAAATAATGAGTATTTAATTCCAAAAAATGTGAACTTATATTTCCATTTTACCAAATATTTAGAAGTTGGTAAAAAACAAAGGTATACATGGATCTAATATAAATTGCATTCTGTTGCTTTACTACCATAGAAGACATCACTTGAGATGTCTGATAAAGCAAAACCTCAGCCATGTCTATTCCTCGTTTTTAGAAAAGTGTATTTAAGATAAGCAATTATTGGCTCAAAGCCTGTGGCTCAAGTGGCTAAGGTGCCAGCCACATACACCTAAGGTGGCAGGTTTGAATCCAGCCCAGACCTGCCAAACAACAATGACGGCTGCAACCAAAAAACAGCCGGGCGTTGTGGGGGGCGCCTGTGGTCCCAGCTACTTGGGAGGCTGAAGCAGGAGACTCGCTTGAGCCCAGGAGTTGGAGGTTGCTATGAGCTGTGAAGCCACAGCACTCTACCCAGGGGGATAGCTTCAGGCTCTGTCTCACATGAAAAAAAAAAAAAAAAGATCAGCAGTTATTTAAAAAAGTGAAACCCCTTCGCCTATAAAATCTTAGGTAACATAAAACCCAACATATTCAATACGGACTTTAAAAATATTGAGTCTAGGCTCGGTGCCCATAGCACAGTGGTTACGGTGCCAGCCACATACACTGAGGCCGGTGGGTTCAAACCTGGCTCAGGCCAACTAAACAGTAACAACAACTGCAACTAAACACAGCCGGGCTTTGTGGAAGGGGCCTGTAGTCCCAGCTACTTGGGAGGCTTTAGCAAGAGAATCGCTTACACCCAAGAGTTTGAGGTTGCTGTGAGCTGTGACGCCAGGGCTCTCTACCAAAGGCAACATAGTGAGACCTGTATCAAGAAAAAAAAAAAATTGAGTCTTGCTGAAATAAAGACCAAGGACACATGTTAGAAACGAAAGATCTTAAATTACTAGATCTGATTACTAGGTTTGATAACAAGTACTAATCACCACATAGTCAATCTAAGAGTATAAACTCTAAAATAAAGATTACTGGGAGGAGGTCGGCACATGGTGGCTCACGCCTGTAATCCCAGCACTCTGGGAGGTAGAGGCAAGAAACTGCTTGAGGCCATGAGTTCAAGATCAACTTAAAAAAGAGGGAGACCTACAAAAAACCCAGAAATATTAGCTAGGCGTAGAGACACATATCTGTGGTCCCAATTGGTCCAGAGGATAAGGCAGGAGGATCACCTGAGCTCAAGAGTTTAAGGTTGCATTAAGCTAAGATGATGACACTGTAACTCTAGCTGGGGATGACAGAGCCACACTCTTGTCTTGAAAAAAAAAAAAAAAAAAAAGATTCCTGGGGTTATAATCCTGGGCTCTATACTTTCTAATTTTCTTTTTTTTTTTTTTTTTTTTTTTAGGATACATTAAAATTTGGTTTAATATTTCTTTGTGGCAAAAAAAAAAAAAATCACATTTGTAGTCAACAAACAACACACATCTTTGGGCTATTGTTGTTTGTTTTTAACTACCATCCGATGAAGTCATAGGGAAGAGGCTCCAGTAGCTCAGAGAGGCATCTTGCCATTGAATGTGACAGAACACTGACTTTTGAATTCATGGGAAATAGGTTCCAGCACCTTGTGTCACTGTTACATGGGGTCTAATTGGTCATCCTGTGTGCTATGCTGTACACTTATCATGTCACGAGCTCATGGAGAGTAAATAGGTTCTTGTACCTAAAAGCATGGGTCCACGGTACTCCTGAGTGCTATGTTATACGCTTTATGCCATGAATTCATAGGGAATGGGTTCCAGGAGCTCAGGCTCCTTTCCATTGGTTCTCACAAAGTGGGCTTCTCTGGGTGGAGCAGGCTTGCGCTTCAGTTGAACCCAGGTACCTTTCTCTTTGGCTTCCTTCTTTTTCTGATCATTTTCCTTCACGCGTTTCAGGAAGCTATCTCGGCTCTTAGAGTGCTTAATATGCTCAATACGAACATTAATCCTCTTGGCAAGAATCTTGCCCTTAACTTGTTTGTTTACAACAATGCCAACAGCATGCTGGGTAACATTGTAGACTCTTCCAGTTTTGCCATGGTAACATTTGTGTGGCATGCCTTTTTGAACAGTACCCATTCCCTTGATGTCTACAATATCACCTTTCTTGTAGATTCGCATATATGTGGCCAAAGGAACAACTCCATGTTTTCTAAAAGGCCTAGAGAACATGTATCAGGTGCCTCTCCTTTTTCCCTTTGTGTTCGTCATTTTGGTGAATTACTGAAAGATGGCGTCTCCGGCCGAAAGGCACTTTCTAATTTTCTAACTGTACATAATTGTACAACTTTTGGCAAAATAGCTTCTCTGTTCCTAAGTTTCTTCATTGGTAAAACAGAACAATACTGATTCCTATCATGAAGATCAAATAAGATAGTATGTTGAAAGTATCAGCTGAGTCCTGAGCATATAACAAATACTTAAGAAATGTTAGGTATTATGTTTTTAAATTTAGTTATTAGGTCATTCTTCCCAAATCATCACCTAATCTCAATTATAGAGAGCTTAAAAACGGGCACCAGACTTACCCACGTGCAGCTAGTAACAAAAATGAATTAAGACATTCAGTTCTAACTTTAAATTATCACTTCTAAGTAAGTTTTTTCTAGACAGCAAATGACTTTTTAAATTGAGTATTTTTTTTTCTCTTTTTTTTTTTAGAGACAGAGTCTTACTTTATTGCCCTCGGTGGAGAGCTGTGGCGTCACAGCTCACAACAACCTCCAGCTCCTGGGCTTAGGCTATTCTCTTGCCTCAGCCTCCCGAGCAGCTGGGACTACAGGCGCCCGCCACAAATAATTGAGTATTTTTTATTTATTCACAAATCATTTACATAAAGCATCGTGGAAAGAATTCTCTGCACATGAAAGAAGTGGTTCGTCCATTCAAACAAGTCAAACACAAAAGAAAGATTTTAAAGAACCAAGTTTTAACCCTTACTTCTTCCTTGGAATGCATCATGGTACAGCACAAAGAAGATATAAATCCTAGCTCCACCACTAAGAATTATGTGGCCATGTTATTAAAATATCTCTACGCCTCTCTGGGGCAGTGCCTCTGCCTCAAAGGAGTAGAGTGCTGGCCCCATATGCTGGAGGTGGCAGGTTCAAACTGAGCCCTGGCCAAAAAAAAAAGAAAAAAAAATCTCTACGCCTTGCTTTTCTCATATGATGGCAACCTGATACACCAAACGCCCAAGGATCATGTGACGCTTAAATATAAACACAATGGAAAATGAGTATTTAATGAAGAAAATATAAAGGAATGCATTTTTAAATTTAACTAGACCATTCTTCCCTATTCATACTGTCCATTCTCTCATTTTATACATTCTACAACAACTAATTATTTCACAATTGACTGAATTAATTTTTCTTTAGGTCTAAAGACAAAATTCAATTTTTACCTGGAAACGGATGCCTGGAAACCAAATCTTCTGGAAGTCCAAGTTCTCTGCCTAAAATTCTCACTTCATCTTTATGAAAATCTTTCAGAGGTTCTATTACTTTTCCCTACACAAAAAAAGGCTCATCAAGACAAAGGACATGGACAACAAAGGGCACCAAATTATTATTTTCCTATTGTCATTTTTCTTACTACATAAATTTAAAAATTTATCTTTAAAAATACATCTTTTAAAGTACTTCCTACTGTGTGCTTAAAAAGAATTAGATGACTATTTTAGTAGTATTCTTATGTCTCCACATTTTAAACATAACCCTTCTAAATATAGGCTGAGCACAGCGGCTCACACCTGCAATCCCAGCACTTGGGAGGCAGAGGTGTGTGGATTGCCGGAGCTCACAGGTTCGAGACTAGCCTGAGCCATAGCGAGACTCTGCCTCTAAAAATAGCCGGGTGTTGCAGCAGTCTCCTGTAGTCCCAGCTACTTGGGAGGCTGAGGCAAGAGAATTGCTTAAGCCCAGGAATTTGAGGTTGCTGTGAGCTATGATACCACGGCATTCTACCAAGGGTGACATAGTAAGTCAACCCATTATCTTTGATCCAGTTCTCACCAGGAAACATAAGGCAATTGGAAAATATGATATTATTGCTTCAAAATTATAACTCTCTAAATCAGTGGTTCTCAACCTGTGGGTCGCAACCCCTTTGGGGGTCAAATGACCCTTTCACAGGGGTCACCTAAGACCATCCTGCACATCAGATATTTACATTACAATTCATAACAGGAGCAAAATTACAGTTACGAAGTAGCAACGAAAATAATTTTACGGTTGGGGGTCATCACAACATGAGGAACTGTATTAAAGAGTCAAGGCATTAAGAAGGTTGAGAACCACTGCTCTAAACGATATCAAGAAAGTGAAAAGACAACAAATAAAAGAGGAGAAAATATTCACAAATGATATTGATAAAAGATTTGTAACAATATATGAAGAACACTTACAACTCAATAACAAAAAGATAAATAAGCAGGCTCGGCTCTAGCTCAAGCGGCTAAGGCAGCAGGCACATACACCAGAGCTGGCGGGTTCAAATCCAGCCTGGGCCTGCCAAACAACGACGACTACAACCCAAAAAATAAATAAATAAATAAAAGCCAGGCATTGTGGTAGGTGTCTGTCTGTACTCCCAGCTACTTGGGAGGATGAGGCAAAAGAATCACTTAAGCCCAGGAATCAGAGGTTGCTGTGAGCTGTGATGCCACAGTACTCTACCTAAGGCAACAGCTTGAGGCTTTGTCTCAAAAAAAAAAATAAAGATAAACAAGCCAATTAAAAATGACCAAAGCACACAAATAGACATTTCTCTAAGATACACAAATGGCCAATAAGCACACAAAAAGATGCTCAACACCACTAGCTATTAGCGAAATGCAAAGCAAAACCACAAAGAGATACACTATTTCACATCCACTAGGCTAACTAAAATCAAAAGACACAGATAATTCAACACCCAACAACAACAACAACAACAAAAACCAGAAGGGTGGAGGGAGTAAAGGGGAGTTGTTTAATGAGCATACAGCTTCAGTTTTGCAATATGAAAATGTTCTCTCAATCTGTTTCACAACAATATTAATATAACTAACATTACTGAACTGTATGCTTAAAAATGGTTAAGATGGTAAATTTTATGTATTTTTTAGCACAATTAAAACAAGTCTTGGCAAAAACGTGAAAAAACTGAAACTCTCACACAGTGCTGGTGGGAATGTAAAACAGTATATAGTTATTTTGGCAACACTCTGGCAGTTCATCAAAATGTTAAAAAGAAAGTTACTGTAAGACCTAGCAATTCTACTCCTAGATATATACCAGAAGAAATAAAAACACATCCAAGAAAACTTGTAGCCGATATTCATAGCATTACTTACAATAATCAAGAAGTAGAAACCCAAATGTCTACCAACCAATCAATAGATAACTAAAATGTGGTATATCATTTGGCAATAATAAAGTATGAAGTTCTGATAAATGCTACACTGTGGAAAAACCTTGAAAAGCATGATCATAGGTAAAAGAAGCCAGTCATAAAAACACCACTTATTATATGATGCTATTTATATGCAATCTCCAGAATAAGTAAATCAATAGAGACAAAAAATAAATTAGTGGTTAGTGGCTGCCTTGAGCTGGCAAGGAGGAGTGAGTTGGAGGGGAGAACGGAGAGGACAGCAGGCAGAATGAGGACTGACTGCTATGGGGTATGAGGTTCCTTTAGGGCAGCAGTTCTTAACCTGTGGGTTGCAAACCCTTTGTAACAAGGAAAATACGTCGTAGTATTAGGAAGGTTGAGAACCACTGCTTTAGGGACTAAAGAAGTGTTTGAAAATTAGATTGTGGTGATAAATATAAACCCGTGAATACTGGCAGGGAAAAGGATAGGAAGAAGGGAGAATCTCTGTGTATTTACTCTACAAAAAAGTTCTACTAAGATTTTACCTCTTCTCTCAACTTTCTGATAAGCTCTGTGTCATTGTGATGGGTTTTGATGAGGTCAGCTTTGCCACTTGCAACAAGGGATGCGCTTTCAATTAGATCAGGCCGTAAAGTCCCTTGGGCAAGGAAAACCTCTGCTGATTTCAGGTTCATTTCTCCAATTACTTCATTGGCAACCTATAATAAATGAAAGTAAAAGAGCTCTATAAAGATCAAAGTATAAAATTTTGCTGTCTTCAAAAAATTTCAACTAAATTTCTCAGAGTCCTTTTGCATTGCTGACAAACCAAATAAACTCCTTTAAGAACATGCACTTTTTAACATGATTCAAAAACACACACAAATATTCCCTTCAAGAACATGAAATCTAGCCTTTGAGATACTCAATGAATTACGGTCCAAAAATCAACTGAAGACATTTACTTTCAAATAGTTAAAACAATAGTGTTTCATGCTTAGTAGAATAACAATATATATGAGAACTCTATGCCCCACACACAAAAATCTGAAGTAGGACGTGTGAGGTGGCTTGCTCCTGTTAATCCTAGCACTCTGGGAGGCTGAGGCCAGCAGATTGCTTGAGCTCGTGAGTTCAAGACCAGCCTGAGCCAAAGCAAAACCCTTCTCTCTACTAAAAATAGAAAAACTGAGGCAAGAGGATCACTTGAGCCCAAGAGTTGGAGGTTCCTATAAGCTACGATGCCACGGCACACTACCCAGGACAACAACTTGAAACTCTGTCTCACAAAAAAAGAAAAAAGAAAGAAAGAAAAGAAAAAATCTAAAGTACAACTTTTGTTTATTTGAAATAATGACAAAGAAAAATACTAAGATTCACATCAAAAATAATATACGTTAAAGATATTTAAAACAGGTACCTTAACAAAAGTATCTCCAATGATTTTTCTTTTCTCTTCAGGACTTGTAGTCATATTTAATGTTTTGCTAATTCTTTTTCGTGGGGTCCTATCTTCATCTGATATTGGTAGAGTTGTTGTTCCATTGTAGAAAGAATGAGCAGCATTTATTACTAGGGGGAAGGGAAGAAATATTTCAAACCAATAGATTTTATTTAAATCATAAGTCAAACTACAGAAAGGAAAACTAGGTAGATCCTTTGATCGCTGCTAAATTTGCCTACATATTCAAAAGCTATCAATAAACCGCGAGTAACAGAGTTCAGGCACGCATACTCATTAAATATTGTCCCTATGAGAATCCTGTGGCATTTAATGATCTACGACCATGAGAATCACACATTATGCTGGCTGTTTTCCCTCTGTTCAGTGCTCCATCAGAGCAAGAAGCACAGTCCCAAGGGAGCCAACAGCAAAGAATCAAGGTCCTCAGACTGCACGCTGACTAGGTCTCCTGTAAAACTGGTCTTTATGAACATTCGCTTAGTGATTCTGAGCTGTCCTTTAGAGTCAGAAACTAAAAACTAAGATCTTTATTTGGTAATACAGTTTAACTAGTAGTGAGCTTTGCCATAAGATGACAAGACAATTGGCTATTTCACAGGGGGACCAGCAGTGAATCTGTAGGTCTTTCCTTAACCAGGTCAATTACCCCAGAAGAGGATACCCTCCAATCTCCCACCATCCTTCTGGTAGCTGAACAGAAGAAATGGTGGAAAGAAGGAGTCTTCAGTCTACAAATTTTTACTTAATCCTGTTCTTAATGTAGAATCTTACTTCTACCCTCAACTATAGGCTGGTTTGGTATATCCAAATCCAGAGCTTCTTTTGTTTAGCCCCTCTACAGAATTTACCCACAGTCTTCAGATGGGGAAGGACAGTAGCAGTTTGCTCCTGTGTTAAGGAAAAGGACCTATTTTTCAGATTTTTCAACCAATCCTGGTTTTAGGCTCACCCAGGGACACATGCCCCCCAAAGAAACCCAGTGTCTCCAATTCCTAACCCTCCCCAGAAGCCTACAGCATAAACCAGCTAACTTTTTGTTGGCTTCCTTCCCACCCCCATCCAAGGTTGTGAATTCCTCTATTTTACCAGGGACAGATCCTGATTTTTGCAGATCTGAAACTCTTACTATTTGAAGTCCCTCCTTCAAGAAACAGGATAACAAGATATTTTTAAAATTATAAATTATGTTGGGATCACTAACAAGAACTTAACTATACATGGAAAAGATTGCAAATCACTTATATACCACTAAACCCAAACTAAATGTATGCCCAGCTCAACTTTTTCTTAGCCATTCCAATTATCACCAAACAAGAGCAAGTCAGAGTGGAAAGAGAAAAATACAGTTAACTATAAATTATTAAAATATCTCACTTGACAAATACACAAAAATAGATGATCATGTGAAGATATCACTAGGGTCCCTCCTGGGACTCTAGAGGAGACCTGGCTAGTGAGGGGCCCTGGACATTATCAAAGAAATTTCATCAGCTTATCAAAGAAAACCTACCTTATCCATCTGCTTTCCACCTTCCAAAATTTTACTGAAATCATGTGCCTACTATCACCTCCTTTACTCCTTATCCTATGGCATTACACTTGCTTTATGCCTTTGCTATTATTTTAGTGAAATTTCAAAAGAAGAAAATACGTGTCTTCATCTTATATTTAATCTTCTGCATCAATTTCAATTAATTCAATACTGTCTACAGTATGTATAACTCCACTTGAACTACTGATTACACCTTACTGTTAAAAAGTATAAAAGATATCTACACAAGTAAATATCACTAAGGGCTAAGAAGATTATTAGACATATGGTCTTTAAAAAAATAGTGACTATACCCTCTTCACTCACCTACTCTCATATAACCCTGTTTACAAAAACAATCAGTGCCTACTGAAAGGAAGGCTTGGGTAATTTCAAGCATAAATATTATGAAATAGAATGGGAAAACACTTTTTTTTTTTTTGAGACAGGTTCTCACTTAGTTGCCCTTGGTAGAGTGCCATGGCATCATAGTTCACAGCAACCTCAAACTCTTGGGCTTAAACGCTTCTCTTGCCTCAGCCTCTGGAGTACCTGGGACTATAGGAGCCTGCCACAATGCCCAGCTATTTTTAGAGGTGGAGTCTCACTCTTGCTTAGGCTGATCTCAACCTATGAGTGCACGCAATCCACCCACCTCAGCCTCCCAGAGTGTGGATTACTGGCATGAGCCACTGTGCCTGGCTCCTGGGAAAACAGTTTTAAAAGACAATGACTAGAAGAGAATGATAGCTGGAAAAGGGTAATCCCATCTAAGTTTAACATTAGTAGTAATCAAGCTTTAAAATGTATACTGGGACCCCTCTTAAATTAGTAGTAGTAATTATAATGTCCAAATTATTTAAACCTTTAACCTTAAGCCTGTTGGGAAATTTGTCATTGTGCTCATTTAAATCATAAAGTTAGATTTGATTAAATAAGTCTTGGCATGTAAGTTAACTTTTCTGGGATTCATCAATACCTTTGACCTGAATTCCGAGTTTTTTGAGGGCCTCTTCAACAGACTGGCTTTCTCGTTTTCTCATAAAGCCATTATCAATGTGTACTGCAATGACTTGGTCTTGGTTCAAAGCACGATTTAGCAAAGCTGTACAAACGGTTGAGTCTACTCCACCACTCAGTAAAACCTACAGAGTAAAATGAAAAAAATCAAAGTGAGCAGAATAAGCAAAAAGAAAATGAATACTAACAGCTTAAGTCATCCCCTATAAACACTGCATTAGAAATATGCATGGTAACTCTGAAACATTCTCACTCCATCAACATGTAAGGGCTGTGTCCAGGAATTCAGACCCTAGATTTCAATATTAATGATGTAAATTTGCAGACTTCCAGATGACAAAGTGCTTACCAAAACTTTTGATGTGCCCACTGTCTCTTTGATCTCTCGAATGCACTCAAGTTCTCTGTTCTGCACAGTGAAGGTCCCAGTGCACCCAGCGATATCATAAAGGAAGTTCTTCAGTATCACTTTCCCATTTTCTGTAAGGCCAACTTCAGGGTGAAACTGTGCTCCATATAATTTTTTAGATTCATTTGCTATGCCTTTATAGAGAAAATAATCACAAATTAAAAAGCTTTCAAGTTGAAAAGACTAAACCAACACCCACAATCAATTCTTCAGTTTCTTCCTCTGTAAATGTTAAAACATGGCTTGTTCTATTGGCTACAGAAAACGAAAACATAAACAAAAGGCACATTCCCATAATCTTTCTTTATTAAGATCTTTCATGATACAGTAGTTAATGAGTACTCTAACTCTTTCACTCAAGTGATTTCAATTGTCTACTCCACCTGGGACTATAGGAGCCTGCCACAATGTGCAACAATAACTCAACTTCAGTTCTCAACATGGCTTTCAAATACAATGTCCAGCTACCAATCTCCTACATTAAAACAAACTCATTCATAAGGACATTTGCACTAGATGGCTTATCTCAGCTCGATTTACAATTACTAAGATGTGGAAAAACCCAAGTGCCTATCAACTTATGAATGGATTAATAAACTATAGTAGGGAGGGGGTTGTGGGGTCATGGTACATGACACACCTCTTGGGGAGAGGGACAGAATTATAAGAGCAAATTTACCTAACAAATGCAATCAGTGTAACCAAATTCTTTGTACCCTCAATGAATCCCAAACAATAAAAAATAAATAAAATAAAAAGGCTCAGCCCCCACAGCACAGTGGTTATGCTCCAGCCACATACATGGAGGGAGACAGGTTTGAACCCGGCCCGGGCCTGCTAAACAACTGCAATAACAACAACAAAATAACCTGGCATTGTGGCGGGCGCCTGTAGTCCCAGCTACTTAGGAGGCTGAGATAAGAGAATTCCTTAAGCCCAAGAGTTTGAAGTTGCTGTGAGCTGTGGCGCCACAGCACTCTAGAGAGGGCTACAGCTTGAGACTGCCTCTAAAAATAAATAAATAAAATGAAAAACAAACTGTGGTATATGTACACCATGGAATACTATTCAGCCATAAAAAAGATGCAGCCTTCATCTTTTGCATTAACCTGGATGGAGGTGAAACACATTCTAGAAGTGAAGTGTAAGGAGAATGAAAAACCAAGTAACCAATGTACTCAATACTAATACCAATAGAAGAACTAATACATGCCCACATAAGAGAAAAATTTAATTCAAGTTGGAGAGAGGGAGGCTGGAGGGAGATCAGTGTGCACCCACCTAATGAGCACAATGTAAGGGTGTACAGCACACCTCCTCAGTGCAGGACACAACATAACTACAACAGAGACCTTACCTAACACGCTCACACATTCTACCTAATCGTTTGTACCCTCCTATTAACCTAAAATAAAAACAATCTCATTCTCAGAATATTGTGTTTTTTTCTTTTACATTATTAACTGCAAATACAACTTCACCTACTTGACTAATGTGTTTTTGACAAATATCATTGTCATAAGTTGTTAAGGTAGATGTTTTAATGTGTATTACTCCTGTTTTATGGCTCTGAGATATCAAGAAACTTGTCTTGGCTTATTAAGTAACTAAATCCAGCCTGGAAGGCTCCCAAACTCTTACTTATTCTACCATACCAAGGTACATCACACTTTCTTTATTTGACCTTCAAGATGCCACTCTTTTGGTTCACTTCTTATTTCACTGTCTACTCTGGTATCTTCTCTGCTTGTTTTTCATTAGCTTACCCATCTCTGCACATGGAAATCACTCAGTACTCAGCCTTTAAATCTCATTTCTACACAGGGAGTGATCTCATACCTCTCACAAACTTAAAACTCCACCTATATGCTGGTAAACTCTCAAACTCCTACCTCCAGCCCAGTTTTCTCCTCTGTTCAGGTTCATATATACAACAGCCTATTCAATACCTTTATTTTGATGTTGAATAAAGCATCTTGAATTTAATGTGGAAACCCCAAACCCTGAGGTGTGTCCCATCAGGTAAACAGAAACTTCATCCTTCTGGCTCCTCAGGCCAAAAAACTTGGAAGTTAAAACATCATCCTACTTTTTCTTCCCTACTTGGCCTCCAATCTAATACCAAATCATTTGTCTTTCTCTTCAAAACATAAAAATCCAATCATTACAATTTCCACCTCTACTCCCCTGCTGCTCCTTGATAATACTGCCTTTCTCTTGAGAATTGTTACTGTACAACAGATTCCTCGGTAGCCTTCCTGCTTCTACCTTTGGCCCCATTTTCTCCTATAATCGAATCTTGAAATTAGATCATGTCTCTCTCTTTTGTTCAAAGCCCCACTTCACTATGAGTAAAGTCACAGTTTTATAATGGTTCAAAGGTCTTTACCTTCATCTTCTACCATTCTCACCATGCTTATTCTGCTCCAACCATGTGGTCTCCTTGCTGTTCCTCAAATATGAGTTCTCATCCCAAGACATCATACTCCTTCCCCAAATATCCAGAGAGGTCAGCACTTACTTTCTTCAGGTCCAATATCATCTTACAGAAATACCTTCCCTGAATATCCTATAAAATAGTAACTAATGGCATCTATTCCTTAACACCCTCCACATATAGTAACTAATGGCATCTATTCCTTAACACCCTCCACATATAGTAACTAATGGCATCTATTCCTTAACACCCTCTCCCCTCCACATCTTTTGTCATATAAACACTACCTGACGTCTGACACTCTGTATACTACCTTTCCCAATGTTAAAAAGAGATTTTAGCTATTCTGTTCATTGCTGTACATCTGACATCTAAAATTGTCCCTGACAAATAATATTCAAATATTTATTGAATGAAGAAAGTACATAAAGCCCATCTACTACTGTTAATCTTTAATATGAAGTAAAAACCTTTCAGTATAAAAACCATTCCTGATAATTCCTATGCCAATGTATTAATCTGTCAAGCAATGGATTACTCAGTTCAGCTGATCCACAATAAATCTATTTTTCAACTTATTTAGGTATGGCATCTCAGACACAAACAACTTCTTTCTTTTTTTTTTTTTTTTGGAGACAGAGTTTCACTTTTTTGCCCTGGGTATAGTGCCATGACATCATAGCTCCCAGCAACCTCAAACTCCTGGGCTCAAGCCATCCTCTTGTGTCAGCTTCCCAAGTAGCTGGGAAAACAGGTGCCTGTCACAATGCCTGGCTAGTTTTTCTGGTTTTAGCAGATACGGGGTCTCACTCTTGCTCAGGCTGATCTTAAACTCCTGAGCTCAAGCAATCTACCTACCTCTGCCTCCCAGAGTGCTAGGATTATAGACATGAGCCACAGCACCTGGGCCCACAAAGAACTTTATTGATTAAACACACCATTTTTCTTTTACTGATTTCCAAGACTATTAGTGATTATTTATATTACCGTTATTTAGGTAATCATATCAAACCCAAACTGCCAGAAAATCAATTCCTCTTCTGCAAAGAAGTACAGAACAAAAATGGTTTATAGAATGAGTCAGCAAACTTCTAAAAAGGGCTAGCTGTAAATATTTTAGGATTTATAGAATATATGGCCCCTTTGTTTTATAAGAACCCTTTAATAATGTAAAAACCATTCTTAACTCCTGGGCATAAATAGGCAATCGGCTGGATTTGACTTGACCCCCAGGTCAGTTTGCCAACCCTAGTTTAGAGAAATGTCCTATCTGCCCAGTCTAACGTCTGGTAGACATTCGATACACATGGCTATGTATACCTAAGAGGCATAAAAACAGTTAACTCTGAATATAGCATGGTAGGAAGATAGACTGTTCTCAAGTTTTCTTGTGAAATTATAGTATAAAAGTATAGTGTTTGTTTGAACAACTTATATAACATTTTGTGAACATTTAAAAAAGTATTTCAAAGCACAACAGTGAATAACTTAAGGATAATCCTTATTGAATTCCCTTAGTTGATCTTGCCACATCTATTAATATTATTTTAAAAAAAAAAAAAAGAAAAAGAAGAGTATTTCCTACAGATTCATGCTTACTCTTCAGATAAATTTTAAAAATGAAATCTCCAAATTTTTTAGAATTTTACCTGCTACAATGTTCCCAGAACGTGCCACAACTTTGAATCCATCAGCTACTTTGTCTATACTATCTCCATGTGTAAGCAAAACAATTTCTTCCTTCTGAAGGCCCCTAAGCATACAAAAAATAAAACATAAATATCTTAATATCATGATTAATTGGGTTTTTGCTAGAAATACAAGCTTGCCATATGTGATCAGAAAATAAAAGAAAGAATGTGACAGGGCAACACTATTAAAATTTAAATATTCTGTTCAATATAAATAAAGCCATTAAAAAATATTAAACCTCAAATAAGGCAATCCATAAAAATTAAATAACTGAATATAAATAAACTGAAACAGACACATAAAGTTGGTAATATAACCACACAAAGAATAATTTCGAAAGACTACAAAATAATCATTAACATTTTCTCTATCAGGATTTATCTTAAGAACAGAGACATTTCAAAGACCCTAACACTAACTCAGTAGCCTTCGGTCAATAGTCCTGTTGGCAGGAATAGTGCTAGAACTGACAGTGTTATTCTGCAGCTATGTAAATAGATACACATGTACTATAAGCTAAAACAATTAGTAATTAGCATTATTAGAAGTTAAGATTTTCAGCTTAAGGTTAAGTAGACACAAAAATCAAAGGAATTAAGTAAAGACTCTATAATCTTTCCCTTTAACTGGAAATAACAGTATACACTAATTATATTGTTTACTCACTCTAACAGAATAGGGCCAGGTGCAGTGACACATACCTGTAATCCCAGCTACTTGGGAAGCTAAGGCAAGAAGATCAATTGAGCCCGGGAGTTCAGAGTTTTGAGACTAGTGTGGGAAATACAGCAAGACCCCTTTTTTGCTTTTTCTCTTTAAAAAATAACAAAAAGGGGGTGGCACCTGTGGCTCAAAGGAGTAGGGTGCTGACCCCATATACCAGAGGTGGTGGGTTCAAACCCAGGCCCAGCCAAAAAAAAAAAAAATTGCACCAAAAAAATAATAAAAGGGAAGGGGGTACTACCTGTCTACTGAAAAGTCCTTAAAAAAAGGACAATCTAGTAGCAACGCGGACTTCCAGTGCCAAAAAATTAATAACGGTAAGAAAGGGGGAGAAGGAGCTATTTGGGTATCAAAGGAGAGTTAAGTAACATTAATCAGATGTAGTAAGTGGGCTTTCTCTGGACTCTTATGGAAACAAACCACCATAAAAAGACATGTTTACATTCAGGGAAAATTTGGAAAAAAATTCAATATTAAATAATATTAAGAAAAAAAATTTAACTTAAAATAAACCAAGCAGACAAACTATATTAATTTAATGCCCAAAGGGCATTTTGGGGCTTTGTTGCCATTGATATTGTTGTTTAGGAATAGCACAGGTTGTGACAGGAGTTCCAGAATTTTAGAAACAGACAAAATACATGTTAAATCTTAACCATAGGTTTATATTTAAAGGCTCTTTAAAGTATATTACACATAAGATTCTTGGGCTGCGCACAGTGGTTCACGCCTATAATCCTAACACTCTGGGAGGTCCTCTGGGAGGACTGCTGGGCTCAGGAGTTCAAGACCAGCCTGCACAAGAGCAAGACTCCCGTCTCTAAAAACAGCCAAGTGTTGTGGCAGGAACTTGAGAGACTGAAAAGCAACAGAATCACTTGAACCCAAGAGTTTGAGATTGCTGTGAGCTATGATTTCACAGCACTCTACCCAGGGCAACAGAGACTCTGTCTCAAAGATTCCTAAAGCAGTTCTCAAGACTAGTCACCTGAAATTGAGATAAGGACAAATGTAATCACCTACAAGTCTCCATTATACAGTGGAACAAGCACTATATTTGACATGCATTTTGGCTATGAGTAGCTTCAGTTTATAAAAGTACTAGGAAGCAACCACAGCTTTTTAAAATTAATCTTCTTTTGAAAAATAAGAATCTTTAGAACGGCGCCTGTGCCTTAAAAGAGTAGGGTGCTGGCCCCATATATCAGAGGTGGTGGTATCAAACCCAGCTCCAGCCAAAAAAAAAAAAAAAGAGAGAGAGACAGAAAGAAAGAAATTTAAGAAAAAAAAAAAAAAAAGAAAGAAAAAAATTTAAGAAAAATAAGAATCTTTGAAAGCAAATCATCTATCTTTGCCCTTCCTCAATCAATACTAATGAAAAGCCAGCCCACCGTCAGTTTTGAGTAAAACCTAGGATTGTAGGTTTTACTTATTTTCAGATGAAAATAAGTTCATGACTTGAATTTTAAAATTTCTGATCTGGGCTCAGCGCCTGTGGCTCAAGTGGCTAGGACGCCAGCCACATACACCTAAGGTGGCAGGTTCGAATCTAGCCCAGGCCTGCCAAACAACAATGATGGCTGCAACCAAAAAAAGTGGCCGGGTGTTGTGGGGGATGCCTGTGGTCCCAGCTACTTGGGAGGCGGAGGCAGGAGACTTGCTTGAGCCCAGGAGTTGGAGGTTGCTATGAGCTGTGATGCCACGGCATTCTACCTAGGGGGACAGCTTGAGGCTCTGTCTCAAAAAAAAAAGAATTATATTAGGGGCTTGGCACCCGTAGCACAGTGGTTATGGCACCAGCCACATACAGCAAGGCTGCCAGGTTCAAACCCGGCCTAGGCCAGCTAAACAATGACAACTGCAACAACAAAAAAAAATAGCCGGGCATTGTGGCGGGCACCTGTAGTCCCAGCTACTTGGGAGGCTGAGGCAAGAGAATCAGAGGATCACTTGAGCCCAAGAGTTTGAGGTTGTTATGAGCTGTGACTCCAGAGCACTCAACCCAGGGCGACAGCTTGAGACTGTGTCCCCCAAAAAACCCAATTATATTAGGTATAAGTCAATGAAGCCTTTAAAAATGCAAGCTAACAAATCTACAATTAAAAATAACTAGCACAGTTAAAAATGACGACAAAAAGTATCCTCACTAACTGATAGCACCTTGCATTTTATAGATTTATAGATTTGATAAAGTTAGGGGTAAATGTAGCTTTAAAACAATAAAATTTAGGTCAAAATGAACCTAGTGAATAAACTCTACCAGCAATCTACCAAATGGGCTTTACACAAGCACAGAAAACTTCACTGAAAGAAAAGCAAGGAACAAAAACATAAATTTTCTGGTATTAGAGAAAACCTAATGAAAACTCAGATTTTTACTTACTTAGAAAAGCAGAAGATCAATGATTCTAGGGAGGTAGTGAGGAGCTTGTTCAATTTTTAAATATACTGGAGCTTAGCATCTTTATCACTGAGCAGTAAGAACTAATAATACATTTATTATATTAAAAAGATTGTACACGAAGTTACCAGTCTTGCCTCAACATGGAGAAAGTGAAATATTTAGTAATGAATCCAGCAAAGGATTCATTGTGCCTGTTACACACCTAGCAAAGAAGCGGTAGGCAAAGAGGCATGCACAAGCATCCAGCAGACGCAGGACAGTTTAATACATTCTCTATTTGCCATATCCGGCACATTCATGTACAGACTCACACTCCAAAGAGTGGAAAGGGAGAAGGACAAACGTTAGCATCACAATACACAATTCCAAATGGGGTTCCGAGACTTGCTCAAGTGCTTTTCTCAGGTTTCCTTAGTGCCTTCCTTACTGTCTATTAGGATGGCCACTGTCCTCTGCTCTCCTGACACACAACTAAAAGGCATATATGTGGCCACCACTGTGCCTTTAATTTATGAATTGCAGAACCTCCAATTATGAAAAATAACAGTCCTGGGCTCAGCGCCTACAGCTCAGTGAGCAGGGCACTGGCCACATACACTGAGGCTGGAAGGTTCAAGGCCGGACCCAGCCTACTAAACAACAATGACAACTATAACCAAAAAATTGCCAGGTGTTGTGGCCGGTGCCTGTAGTCCTAGCTACTTGGGAGGCTGTGGCAAGAGAATCACTTAAGCCCAGAGTTTGAGGTTGCTGTGAGCTGTGATGCCACAGCAGTCTACCCAGGGTGACACAGGGCGACATAGTGAGACTCTGTCTCAAAAACAAAAAAACAAAAAACAGTACCAACTTTAAAATAGGATATGCTACCTGAATAATGAACATGTATTATCCACAGTAATGTTGAAAACTCCATCTTCTCTAACACTTTTTTTGTGCACAGTCCCTCCAAACACCTTATTCATCATCTGTTCAAAGAGAAAACAAATTGATGTTAAATCAAAAGAAAAATATTCAGTCATTTTGTTATGGATTTAATAATTTGTATTCCTTGTTTTCAAATACCTTTTTTGTTTGTACCCACAAAATAATGAGTTTGATAAATATGGTTACCTTGGTATTACACATAATTATACAGTTATTAAGAGGAATGGTTATAACAATAGTGGATTAATTTTTGTTAAATACTGGCAGATTTTCCACTTAGAAAAATGGAGATTTTTTTTTTTTAATATTTACATCTGAGTTTAATTTAAAAGCACTTTGAGCTCACAACAGCTAAAGCAGACAAGAAGAACGGTGGTACCCAAACAGGAACTTAAACAGGTATAAATTCCTCCCAGTTATTTAATCTCTCGCTCCAAAGGAACAGTCTGAACAGGTAGAGAAGGCTGTGCTTCACCACCATAAGGTTAAGTTCAGGAAAAGTGGTCCAGTACCTCTGAATAGAAATGGGAATGAAAAAAAAGTATAAAGGAGGTTTCAAAAGCTCTACCAATATGCTATTTTTTATGTTGGGAGGGTGGGACAGTTTATGGTAATAGATTAAAGGAATCTATTACCATAATAGACTTTTTTCTTCTAAAGCAAAGAATTATCAAGAAGCAATGAGACTGACAGAAGAGTCCAGTCAATGGGAAAAGAGAACAAAGACACTGAAATTAATAAAATTTCAGAATGCCATGAGGGGAACAGGTACACACTTTGGTGCCAAAATTACCCCAACATCGTCACAAAGAAGTGACAGTCCTTTATAACAATATATTGGCTAGATGGCATCAACTGCACAAATACTTTATGGAAGGAAAACGCTACCTAAAGAAACAAGATTAGCCTAGTCCGTAACCTACTATGAAAGTTCAGATGATAATAAAAAGTAATTTTTTTTATCCATCAGCAGGCCTGGCTTTGTCCATCATAAGATGTCCTATAAAGTGACAGAAAAATATGTCCTATTAATGACAGAAAAAAATAATTATAATTAGATAGGGAATTGACATAATAGGGAAACATTAAGTCACTACCATTTAAATTAAGGGAGCATTTTCCACATGTATTTCACTGTCAATGAGCCCTAAAAATATATCTTTTGAGACTCTTCCTCATAGAATGACTCTCAATAGACTAACAACCATTTAATCTAATTATAAGTTATGCTATATGATTAACACTGACTATTCTGGTAAGACAGATCAATCAAATACATTAAATCCTGGACATAAAATGAAGCCAATGCCTAATCAACTCAATTAAGATGCTGGCTTTTAAGAATACTATATGGAAAAATGACTTTTTTCCAAGTCAAATTCATAATCACCATTTAGGCTTTTCAAAGAATGTTAAAAAGCAAAAAAGAATCTTTTACTATAAAATATTTGTTGCCGGGAGGCGCCTGTGGCTCAGTGGGTAGGGAGCCAGCCCCATATACCGTAGGTGATAAGTTTGAATCTGGTCCTGGCCAAACTGGAACAACAACAAAAAAATTTGTTACCTATTGGAAGAAAATACACATGGTTGTAGATTTTGTACTTCACACATTTTTAGAGACCAGTATTTCCTCTAAATGCAACTGGAAAACCGTAGCAATTAGAAGAAACCAAATCTGGTACAGCTGTTTTATTAGCCAGCTTCTTTCTAACTCTCTGTACTTGTATCAAGAAGGAATAATAAAAACATTCAGTATTCTACTGTGAAGACTGCTTTATATTTCCTTCCTTCATTGAAAACTCAAGAGCCAGCTAGAATACATTGACCTCTTTGTTCACTTTCTCCTTTATAAACAACTTCCCTTTATGTAATATTCATATTAAAGCATAACAGGGTGGTGCCTATGGCTCAGTGGGTAGGGCACCGGCCCCATATACCGAGGGTTGGGGGTTCGAACCCAACCCCAGCCAAACTGCAACAAAAAAATAGCCAGGCGTTCTAGCAGGTGCCTGTGGTCCCAGCTACTCGGGAGGCTGAGGCAAGAGAATCGCTTAGGCCCAGGAGTTGGGAGGTTGCTGTGAGCTGTGTGACGCCACAGCACTCTACTGAGGGTAGTAAAGTGAGACTCTGTCTCTACCAGAAAAAAAAAAAAAGAGCAGTGCCCATAGCTCAGTCGGTGGGGTGTTGGTCATAAACACTGAGGGTGGAGCGTTCAAACAAAACCCGGGCCAGCTAAAACACCAATGACAACTCAAACAAAAAATTAGCTGGGTGTTGTGGTGGGCGCCTGTAGTTCCAGCTACTTGGGAGGAGCAAGAGATTCGTTTAAGCCCAGGAGTTGGAAGTTGCTGTGATCTGTGATGCCACAGGACTCTACCCAGGCTGACAGCTTTAGGCCATCTCAAAAAAAAAAAAAAAAAAAAAAAGTTAGCCAGACGTTGTGGTGGGCGCCTATAATCCCAGCTTATTGGTAGGTTGAAGCAGAAGGATCACTTCAACCCAGGAGTCTGAGGTTGCTATGAACTAGGCTGATGCCACGACACTCTAGCTTAGGCAACAGAGTGAGACTTTGTGTTAAAAAAAAAAAAAGAAAAGAAAAGAAAATGTTACATACTGTATGATTATAATTATATGACATTCTGGAAAAGACAAAACGACAGAGACAATAAAAAGATCAGAAGTTACCAGAAGTTGGGAGGTGAGGTAAAAGATGAATTGGAAGAGTACAGAGGGTTTTTAGGGCAGTGAAAACAATGATACTATCTATACTGATGGACACATGTCATCATACATTTACCTCAACCCATACAACAGACAACAGCAGGAGTGAAGTCTAATGTAAACTATGGACTTTGGGTGATAATGACCAATGTAGCTTCATCTACCGTAACAAATGTACCTCTCTGGTGTAGAACGTTGATGATGGGAGGGACTACACATGTGACACATAAGATATCTTTGTATCTCCCTTTAGATTTTGCTGTGAACCTAAAACTGCTCTAAAAAAGTTAAAAACTATAGAAAAAACTATAAAGTAAGCAAAAATAGTATCTAAAAGCCAAAATAGACTTTTTTGAGGCAGAGTCTCACTATGTCAACCTTGGTAGAGTGCCATGGCATCACAGCTCACAGCAACCTCAAACTCTTGGGCTTAGCAATTCTCTTGCCTCTGCCTCCCAAGTAACTGGGACTACAGGGGCCCGCCACAACACCTGGCTATTTTTTTTTTGTTGCAGTTGTTTAGCTGGCCTGGGTCAGGTTCAAACCCACCACCCTTGGTGCATGTGGCTGGCACCGTAACCACTGTGCTACAGGCGCTGAGCCCAAAATAGACTTCTAAACATCAGAAGAGTATCTTTACTCAAGCCCTCAGTAAGTCCCTATTTATTCTTGCTTTTGATACAACACCAACATACATATGTTAATTGATGTTACAATGGAGATATGAACAGACACCATCTTAATCAAATAATCCAAGTTAACATCACTGGTCATGACAAATCTAAATCGTGTGCTTCCTTGTAAGATACTCTGAGAGCAGCACAGTATAACCTGAATCTAATAATGAAACATCAAAAAGCCTTGGCGCCTGTAGCTCAGCTGCGAGGGCGCCAGTCACATACACCAGAGTTGGCAGGTTTGAACCCAGCCTGGGCCCGCCAAACAACAACTACAACCAAAATGAAACAGCCAGGCATTGTGCCGGGCACCTGTAGTCCCAGCTACTTGGGAGGCTGAGCAAGAGAATCACCCACTGTGGCAGGCACCTGTAATCCCAGCTACTTGGGAGGCTGAGCAAGAGAATCACCCGTTGTGGCGGGCACCTGTAGTCCCAGCTACTTGGGAGGCAAGAGAATCGCCCATTGTGGCGGGCACCTATAATCCCAGCTACTTGGGAGGCAAGAGAATCGCCCATTGTGGCGGGCACCTATAATCCCAGCTACTTGGGAGGCTGAGCAAAAGAATCACCCATTGTGGCAGGCACCTGTAATCCCAGCTACTTGAAAGGCTGAGGCAAGAGAATTAAGCCCAAAAAAAAGTTGAAGGTTGCTGTGAGCTGGGACACCAGGGCACTCTACCAAAGCAGACATAGTGAGACTCTGTCTGGGAAAAAAAAAAAAAAATCAAAGAAATCAAAATTATGGCATATTCTACAAAATAACTAGCACATTTTTAAAAATTATCAAGGTCATAAAAGAAAAAGGAAAACAAAACCCTGAAGAAACGTTCTGGACTGAAGGAATCTTAAAGAAACATGACAACTAAATATAAGGCACAGTCCTGGATCGGATCTGTGACCTATAAGGCACATCAGTGAAATGAACTGAAATGTGAATGGAGTTTTTAGATTGGATGTTAACATTGAATCAGTATTAGCTTTCTGATTTGGATAGCTCTACTGTGGGTATGGAGAAGAGGATTTTAGTACTTAACAAATGTAAGTAAGAGGGCATCACATCTATAACTTACTCTCAAATCATTTAAAATGTTAACAACTGGAGAATTACATAAAGTATACTGGAGCTCTAATACTATTTCTGCAACTTTTTTTTGAGTCAGAGCTTCAAGTTGTTGCCCTGGGTAGAGTGCCGTGGTGTCACAGCTCACAGCAAACTCCAACTCTTGGGCTTAAGCTATTCTCTTGCCTCATACTCCCAAATAGCTAGGACTACAGGCACCCACCACAATGCCCAGCTGTTTTTTGGTTGTAGCTGTCGTTGTTTGGCAGGCCCAGGATGGATTTGAACCTGCCAGCTCTAGTGTATGTGGCTGGTGCCTTAGTCGCTTGAGCTTCAAGTGCCAAGCCTATTTCTGCAACTTTTATATAAATTCGCATACTTTTTTAAAGATAGGGCTCGGCACCTATAGCTCAACGGGCTGAGGCGCCAGCCACGTACTCTTAAGGTGGCGGGTTCGAATCCCCAGCCTGGACCCGC